TGTCTCCTCCTGCTAGGCGAGGTCTCTGGAGCATCTGAAATCTCGGATGCCCATTCCAAAAATTTTTCAGAGCCAGCCTTCTCCTTCTTTTAGCATTCTGGTTCCCACTGCTCCCCTGGGCATGCTCATTAGCGTCTTTTTATGGCTGTAGAAACAGAAATCCCAGAATTAGTTCGCTTGGGCCACCCAGAGAGAGCAAGGTGACCAAAGACCAAGCAAGCTTTTAAAGGTTTTTAAAGAATATTCTTAGCATCTTCTAATGCCTCCGGAGCACTGCTGTTAATGACGCTTGTCCCTGCTCACAAAAGGTAAACAAATTCAAGTTCTCCCCAATATTCTTCTTGAAGCAGAGAGCCCTTACCCCTAAACCAGGCTAAGTTTTTTTTCAGTTTCACACCTTCCCTGTGACTTTTCTTTAACATGGTAATTGAAAAGATCATACATACATCGTTGTTTAAGAATTTGGTAATCTTTTTGCTTCTCAAAAAAGAAGTTATTTTCATTTTTAGGAACCTGAAGTTTAGAAACTTCAGCCAAAGATAGGTTTTTAAATGGCAGCCTTTGCACTGTAGGAGTCAATATGAAATGTAAGAGTTGCTTAAATGCCTCACGTGGGCATATATGCATGTTCATGTTGTCTGTTTTCAATTAGGGGGTGTTTTAAAGTGTGTGTGTGTGTGTGTGTGTGTGTGTGTGTGTGTGTGTGTTGGTATACATTGCACGCATGTGGAGGTCAGAGGACAGCTTTGGCTGTCAGTCTGTATCTTCCATCTTCCTCCGGTCTTAAGACAGGATCTCTTTGTTGTTCGCCCCTTCATGCTCCAGCCTAGCTGGGCAGTGAACTTCTAAAGCTGCTCCTGCCTCAGTTTTCTGCCTCTCAGGAGTGCTGGCATTGCAGATGTGTGCTACTTCAGCTGGTCTGTGTGCACCCTGGGAATGTGAATTCAGGTCCTCACACTTGGACAGCAAACACTATATCCACTGAACCGTCTCCCAGTCTGGTAGGAGGCTTTTTGGTCAGCACACAAACCTCCCTAAGATTTGGTGAGAATGTACTCGTGCTAAGTGAACTAGGTACCCTAGCCAGTGAGCTCCGGTGTATCGGACACTGTGTGGAGCCGAGTTAGAGTCTGGGAAGAAAGCTTCAGATACTTTTTAATGCATTTTCTGCCTATTTGTGTGTCTTCCTCATCTACAAACGTCAGGCAGAGTAGTGTCTGAGTACCAAGAGAGTGAGAAAGTGGAATTAGAAAAACCTAAAGAAAACAAAATACTATTTCCCATGTCTCTTATGGTCTGTTTTTCCTAACTTTAGGAGCACCCTATGGCTCCTTTCCTCCAGTTTTTACTCTTCTACAATGGCAATTCTCTAATGCTGAGACTCCCTTATCCTATAAGTTACTAGAGACACCCCTAAACATTTTTCTATGCAGGTCATTACTGTTCATCTTTATTTAATTAGAAATTAGTACTAAACATTAAGAGCGATGCATTCATTCATTTTGAAATGCCAATAATGCACCAATTGCACACTAATGTTTTTATGACAAAGGACTATTTTTCTGAAACTAAAAATTTGCTAATTAGCTGGGTATCATTTAAAACATTTTTGTTGGGCTCTGTATTGTCTGGCTCATTAGAAAGTGGTGGATCTTTGGTCTGCTTCTACCTCATATCTGCAGAGAGATATATGGTAGGATTTTTTTTTTCTTTTTAAAGACAGGGTTGCATGCTCAGCCTTGCTGTGTAGCTACGAATGGCTTCCAACATCACATCTCTCTGGATGTGATGGCTTTGAACCTCAGATCTCCTGTTGGGATTATAGGCACATGTCCCCACACCCAGTATATGCAGGGCTGTGGGTGGAATCCTGGGCTTTGTGTACACTAGGTAAAGATTCTACTGGGTTAGCTATGTCCACATTCCCAATATGAATTGGAAACTATTTTCATGAACTTTCTTATTCTTATACCATTAATATCTTTCAGTCACCCTTGCCTATTGAATGACTCTTCTACTTGTGCCAGGTTCTGAAACACCTTCTCTTGGTCATTTGAAAAATATTTATTTCTTACATTATGCAGGTCTTTCTAACATCTACACCTTTTACTTCACAGTGCCAACCCCTATCCTTTTCTTTAACACTATCCAAAAGTACCCTAGTAGAGCAAAGTTGTGATGCTTGTGGTGATAGACATGAGTTGTCTAAAAGTCTAATTCTTGATTGAGTTCGAATTGTGTCAGTAGTCAAAAGTGTCTCCCAGATATCCCAAGTATGAACACCCATTGTTTATCTATTTTCTTTGGGTGAAAATGGCATTCGATGACATTCAAATGTAGCTGGTTTTGATGACAACAATCATTGCATGTTTTTTTTTGTTTTTTTGTTTTTTTTTTTTTGCAACAAAACATTGTATCCCATTGGGATCAAGCAGTGCCTTATGACTGTTTCTTATTCTGCCATTTGTTCTATTAAACATATATCTTTTCATGAGAATATTAAGGTACATACTCAAGAACCAAGACAATAAGATTAACCATGGAAGTGATATCAACGAACACAATCTTAGGTTAGATTATCTGTATTTACATATATGCATATGTGTATTTAAGGGTGAATCTGTGGCATAGTATTTGGGGATCACTACACTAGTCATAGTAAAGTTTTTGTGGTGATACCTGCCACTGCTTATTCACAATGAGTATAAATGTGAATGCAGGGAAAATGGCCAGCAACATGGCATGCGTGGTGCTTTGACTGAGAATGGCCCTCATAGCCTCATATAGTTGAATGATTGATCCCATTTGGTGGAACTATTTGGGAAGGGGTAGGAGGTGTGGCCTTGTTGGAGAAGGTATATCACTGGGCTTGGGCTTTGAAGGTGCAAAAGCCCACACATTCGTAAGTTCATTCCCTCTTACAGAGATCCGCCTGCCTCTGCCTCCTGAGTGCTGGGATTAAAGGTGTGTGCCACCATGCCTGGCCTCCATCTCTCCCTAAACATTTAACTCAGTCCCACATTGGGATAAAAAACGGTTGGGTGATTTTAAGCTCCTAGAGAATCTCTCTTTTTGAAGCATGAGAATTCAGCTGTCTTTACAGTTACTGCTCTTTCTCATTGTCATGTCAGTACTGAACTATTACTGAACCAATATCATGAAGATACGATGAGAGATGGAGTTGACCAGGTGAGGTACATTTCATCCCGAAGCAGATGTGGTGGCAGCTTCTGCGTAGGGGACATCCCTCCCACGAGGCTAGGGTTCAGTTTGTTCTTGTCTCCGTCTTCTGAGGGAAGAGCCTCCTATTCAAACATGGTCTTTGGATTCCAGTCACACAATGGTGAATCGGCAATTTTCTGTGACTGGCTTGAGAAGCAGCCTCATACTGAATAGCTTTCTAAATGAGTGTGGACTGAAATACAAATAATAGCTTTGGCTTTCTTTAATGGGACAGTTTCCTGAAAACCTTCCAATTGTCTTGTTGCTCTACATTTTTCCTCCTGTGAATGCCCCCTGCCTCAGGGCCTTAGAGATTCCTGCTTATTACACCAGCCTTAAAGAGCTCTGTGATGATACTGTCCAGGTAAAACCTGGCCACCAGTAAAGAGGAAGGCTCCATATATGCCTTCATGGAGTCCAGAGCCTGCTCTTAATCCAGCTGCCCACTGACCAAGGGTGTGGTTTCTAGCTTGGTCTTGGTTGCTGTGATAAAACTTCTTAACCAAGGATGAAAGGGTTTCTTGGCTTACACTTTCAAGTCACAGTCCATCATTGAGGGAAGTCAGGGCAGAAACTTGAATTAGGAACTTGAAGCAGAAAGTATGGAGGAATATTGTTTGTGGGTTAGCTCCCTCACTGGCTCATGTTTCCCTAGCTTTATTGTACAGCCCAGGACCAAACTGCCAAAGAAGGCTGCTGCCCATGGTGGATTAGGTCCTCCTCCGTCAATTGAGAAGACAAGACAGTCTTGTACAGACATACCTATAGATTGACATGATAGAGGCAGTTGCTCGGTTGAGATTCCTTTTTCCAGGTTATTCTAGGTCTGCATCAAGCTGATAGTAAATAGTAGATGGTAGAACTCGGACAGTGCAGTTCTACTATGTGGAAGGCATACGGGTGGAGTGTCTAAAAAAGGAGGGCCTACCAGATCTTTGTGATACTAGGTTTTCAGAGTCCTCAGACGTGCAGGAACAGTCCAGGCCTCAGTGCTGGCTGTCCACCTGCAGGCACTGCCTTCCCAGGGCTCCAGCATCCAACCACTCATCTCCACAGCGCCTACATCTTGAGGCACCATCTCCATCCTGCTCTACAGCTCCTTGAAGAAAGTGCTAGCAATGGGAGATATAAAACACTATGATTTAAAAAAAACTTGTTAGAAATTTAGGGACATTTTAGGCAATTGCTTTATTTATTTATTGGGAGTGTAGGGATTTCCCTATGGAGAAAAATTCCCGTTTTCCCCCAAAGACAAATCCTAATGTGTTTCTGACTCACAGGGTCACCAGTGTACGTGTGTCAAAGCCCTTGCTAGCCCAGGGAGATTTTACTTGCAAAAAGCACGCAAAAATTGGAATATAATAGAATATTCTTGACTTTCTCTGTTGAACATAAGGAATTAGAATTTTATTCATCTCATTAAATAATCATAAGAGCCAATTTGTGCTTCATATTTGCCTTACTGGAGTTTTAACAGTAAATAAGAAGAATGTAACCTCTTGATATGTTCAAATGGAAGACAAGGCTAATTAATTATCAGGATACAAATAAATACATAGTTTGGAAACAGTGGAGATGTGGAGGGCAAGCAGGCTGGAGATACACTGAAGTGCCAGTGAATCAATATGTCTGGGCTCCATATTTTTTATACTGAAATTGTCTATATGGTCAACGTGGTTGACTGGGGGGGGGGGCTGAACGTGTTTATGAGCGGAGCACCAGACTAACTTATCAACCCTCTTGGCAACTAAAGACAGCAAGAGTCTATTCTTTTACAGTTCTGGAAGCCAGAAGTCCAAAACCAAGATATTAAGAAGCTTGTGTTGTCTCCATGGGCTCCAGGAAGGATCTGTCCCTGCTTCTTCCAGAATCTGCTGGCTCAGCTTTCTGCCGCCATCTTCATGTGGTCTTCCCTGTGAGTCTGTCTCCTCTCCTCTCTCTCATCAGGACACCTGTCACTGTATTTAGAGCAAACATGGGTGATCCACGATATGCATCTGGACATGCTGAATTTCATTTGCAAAGATTCTTCTTTTAAATAAGGATGTGCCCATGGGTTATGATTTGGGGGCTGGCATTCAACCTATCAAAAATAGAATCTTGGAGGATCACTGGAATAGCAGTTTGTAAATCAAACTCAAAGGTGTTCCCTGAGTGGGATAAGGGTTGTCCTTCTCTATAGCCACATGACTGATGTGTAGCTTATTTCAGGGATGGGGCATGGGCAGCCTTGATCCATAGTGAGCTGCCTGCGGCATTGTAGTCAGTATGGTTGACTTGATTGCTGTCACGTAAAAGCACCAAGCAGCTTGGTGGCACTGCCAGCCCAGACAGCTTGTAGTTAGACTTTACAGTGGCAATTTCAGGAGGGAAGTGACAGCATTAAGGCGCAGCACTGTGGGTCTTCGTGGGAACACCTCGTAAAGAGATAGCAGTTCTAGACTTGGGAAATTGAGAAAGCACAGTTGAGCCCAGAGGGACAGACTAGGGGAGCTGTTAAAGCTGACTAAGGAGGCAGGACAATACTAGCGTTCCCTGGATATTTCGTAAGCCGGTGACGAGCAGTCCTGGTGGAGGCAGGAGACTGGAAACTGAGACCTCAGCCTAAGAAGAGGTTTATTGCCCTGAGCAGCCCTCTCTTTGGGGGATGTGAGGTGTACAGGTACACAGAGGTACCACCTGTGGGAAACCCACCTCCAGAGGGTGGACACTCTGCAGGAAGACTTTATTGCTTAGTCTTTTTCTCAGCCATGTTTTATGCTGGAGGAAGGCAGTGGGGAGCAGGACAGCATACCCCGAGCCTGCCTGGGTTGGGGATGATGTTTGCTCAATTCTGTACACCCCCAGCTGTTGCTCCAGGTGCTAAGTTAGACACTCGGTAATTAGCTGGGCTAATTTATTTAATCATGTTGGTACTGTTTTTCTTCTCCTGGTTGTTCTTCTTGCCCTGATCCTTCAGGTTTTCCTGGATCCACTCCCAGCTGTGTTTGTTGGACTGTGGTGTTGAGGGAAGATGGATCCTCCTTGATGCCAGAGATTACAGCAAGCTCCAGCTTGGCTCTGGGGAGTGGGGGCATGCCCATCTCATTCATATTCTAGGCCAGAGTTTCTCAAACTGGGCACCAGTAACATTGGAAGCCAGAGAATTCCTGGTGTTTTGGGGAGTGGGTAGGCAGAGGCTTTCTGTGTATTATGGGATGCCTATCCGTATTCCTGACTTCCAGTAGATGCTAAAAGTGCCCCCCCCCCATCCCTGTGGTTGTGACAACCAAAATCATCTTCAGAGACTTCAAGAAGAGGTGCCTTTTGGAGAATCCCTTCAGATCCTAACACTGACCGATGACTTATGTTATTGGGACTTGTAAGCTAAAAAACAAAATTCTCTAGAAATCCATGCAGGGAGCAGGGGGATGGCTCAGTGTATAAAATGCTTGCTGTATAAACATGAGGACCTGAGTTTGGATTCCCAACACCCATGTAAAAGCTAGGCATGGTACTGAGAGCCCTTCAACCCAGTGCTGGGAGTGTGTAACTAGGCAGATACCCCAGGGCTAATTGGCCAGCCAGTCAGCTGAGCTTTTAGTTCAGTGAGAAACCCTGTCTTCAGAATAAGGTGGAGAACTGTAGGGTGATGGCAGAAGTCAATCCCCGACCTCCACCTGCACACGCGTCTCTCGTCCCCACTCTCATACAGACAGACTCCACGCAGTGGTTTTGTTCATGACTGACGGTCCTTTACTAACCTCCCATATCTCCATCTTCTGATCCTGCCCTAATTGGGAGCCCTAGGCCTGGGCAAGGGCTGTCATAGAGTACAGGACTTGTAAGCCTACCAAGGGCTTTCCTCCGAGAGACGTCAGTATTGTGTCAGACAAGGAAGTAAGAAAGCCAAGCTGTATAGGAGGGTAGCAGACAGCAAGCAGGGTTGGAGCCATCAGGAAGACATGCTGAACCAGAAAAGCTACTTCTGAGTAGACGGAGACTGAGACATGGGCCACAGGATGGAACCAGTCCAACATGGCGGCGACCTGGGGGAGAGCACTGTTGTCTCTGTTGTTGGATCCCCCACTCTCTGGGCCGTGTGGTATCAAAGATTCTGACTCATTTTGGGGTTTCTCACAGAAGCTAGCTTAGGTTTTTTGGTGTGCGGTGTGTGTGTGTGTGTGTGTGTGTAGAACATCTAGACTGTTTAGCAAATGAAGGCAGGTTGCTAGGATCCTGGGAAGGACCCAGATAGTCTAGGAGTATCTTTATGGAGAAGAGAAGGCAAGGTGTACAGAACAGCTGCTCAGCTGACAGCAGTCTCTTCCTTAGAAATGAAATAGCACTCCATAAGTTCAACTTCAGGATGGCCATGTTCAAAGGAGAAAAACACATTGCAAGAGGCCCTCTAGGTGTTCTAGGCCAGCCTGTGCTGCAGGGGGAGCAGCAGACCAGTCAGGCAGTGTGGAAAGATTCTGCCTCAAAAAACACCAAAATGAATAAATAGCAACAAAGATTAAAAACAAGGAAGAGAAGGAAATGAGTGAAACCCACGTTATCCTTATTTTTATCCAATTGTTTTGTATTTATTTATTTAGCTGTATGTTTAGGCCCTGGGGTAAGCAAAGACATAGTTGTCTGTGGACGTTGGAAGACAACCTGCAGGAACAGGCTTTTACTTTCTGGGATTTGAACTCAGGTTGTCAGGCTTGGTGGCAAGAACCTTTACCAGCAATCCATCTCACAGGTCCTGAAGCCAATTTTAATAACAGGGTTTGTACATAAAGTCCAGCATATTGCCACTTGTTTGGGTCTTCACATACAAAAATCATCAGTGAGATAATATGCTTTGTTTTTCAAGAGTCTGGGGGCGGCAGTGTGCATCCTACCCATGCACACATCTCTGCTTGGATTTGTTTGCCTTCTCAGGGTTAGCCCTCCCGGAGCCTTCTTCCCCAGACAGTGTGGGTCAAGAGAGGAAGGTGCAGTGAGCACATTGTGGAGGTAGACTGTCGCTTACAGAAGAGAAATATAAAATGAGCAGGACAAGCACCCCTCCTCCCATCTATTATTGCTTTGACAAGTACCTGTCACCAGGCTCCTCTGGGGCTCCCTGCAGATAGGGACTGTCTCCTGAATCCAGTGGCTCTTTCTTCTTCTCTTTGTGGTCCCCCCTGCTTGCTTTTGTTTCAAAGAAATGAGCACACAGAATAGAGCCAGCATTCCGCTGGGCAGTCACATGGCATTGCACTTTCTCAATTCGTCAGAAATCAGACCCCCCACCCCCTACCTGCCCCTTGCAGGCCTTCATTTCCTTGGTGTCTTAGTCAGGGTCCCAACTCCACTCCAGCCCCAGGATGACTTCAGAGCAGTGGTCCTCAACCTTCCTAATGCTGCCTGCCACCATTCAATACAGTCCTCATGTCGAGGTGACTCCTGCTCCCCAACCATAAAATTTTTTCATTGCTACTTCATAACTGTAATTTTGCTACTGTTATGGATCCTAATATAAATATTTAACATGCAGGATATCTGATATGCAATCCCTGGGAGGGCTCCAGACCCACAGGTTGAAAACCACTGTTCTAGAGGCTGTGCTGCCGACTGCCCAGGTAAATGCCAGCAGCAGGTCTTTGCAGGCTTCTCTTTCTTCTTATCCAGAATAGAAACCAAAAGAGACCTTTTCCTTAGAAGGGACAAAGGGAGATGTAGATTGGGTGATCTGGAGTTAATGATGCTGGCCAAGAAGGACCCAAGAGCACAAAAGCAACAAAGACCAGGCTCATCTTATTCAAGGCGAGGGCTTGGAATGGGCTCCCGGCTTCTCAGCAATGTTTGAGTTTAGCTTTCCTTTTCCCAGGATCTCTTTCTTCTGCCTCTGCCAAGGATTGAACTCCAGAAGTTTGATCTTGTCTGGATGCAGGAAGCGATTGTGCTCCCTTGCTGGGTCACATTGAGGTTTGTGAACACCTCATTCTCAGTCTTGCCACCCAGGAGGGATGATCTGATGGGTCCTCTGAAATAGGTTCTCTATTTGAGGTTCTTCTTAGCCCACCTCTACCCGAGTGGGTCAGTGGCATCAACCAGAATTGATCAGTCTCTCCTCTCCCTCAGGGGACACTCAGCAGCGGCTGCAAACATTTTTGGTTGCTGTCAGTTGTCAGGGAGAGGTTCAGCTGGCATCTAGTGAGCAGGGGGCATCACTGAGTTTCTTCTAATGCACAAGACAGATTCTTCTCCTGCCACAGAGAATGAGCAAGCTCAGATGGAAAGCGCTTGCCTTGCAGGCATGAGGACCGGAGTCCTAGCCATAGGACCTAAATCTAATAAAGCCAGGCATGGTGGTGTGCTTTATAATCCCAGCATGGGGGAGTGCAGAAGCAGGCAGATCCCTAGAGCTTGCTAGCTAGCTGATTTATCCTGCTTAGCAAGCTCCAGAGCAGTGAGAGACTCTGAATAAATAAAATTTAAAAACTGGTTGGCGTCCAAGGAATGTCATTTGATGTTGTTCTTACACACACACACACACACACACACACACACACACACACACACGCACGCACTAATGACCCCTAAATGTCAGAAATAACAAGACTGGGAACATGGTCAGAGAACCTTTCCTTTGCGTGTCCCAGAATTTTCTCTCAAGAAGAGCCTTGCAGAAACCTTGGGTACACTTAAGCACATATGTGATTAAATAACTACCTTGTATATCAGTTAGTGCTTCTCATGGTTTTGTGGGCACCCACCTGAGAATAAGAGCTGGTTCCCTGCTGGTGCCTCATGAAGGGCTAGGTGACTCAGGAGGACGGAACTAAATTAAGTGGCCAAGTTTAAGTGCCAGAGCTTTCTGATTCCTTTAAAGGAAGAAATACACACACGCACACACACACACATACATACCTGTCACAGCACAGCGTATGGAAGTCAGAG